TATCGTTGGTGAGATTGTTGTTTTAGATTTCAGTCATATTTGTGAATATTATTGAACAGTATGTTTTGGCTTGTGTTCTTCGATCTTGAAAGGGTAATTTCGCAACTTATCTAGTTTTTTCCATATCACTTTGTTTATTTATTTGCTTAAAATATGATTACTGATGCTAGTGGGCACCAGAATACGAATGCGCAATACAAACTGAGATTGTAATGTGTTAGGCTATGATAGTTATGTGTAACAAGTATGAACAAAATTGGTGTGAAGTAGTGTATATTAATGAAAACAATAATACTAATAACTATACTAGTAGCAGATGTTCAGATATGAAAAATGGAACCATGAAGGATTCTTCCATATAGTAATGCTCTTCTCACTTAAATAGTGATAATGTGGGAAATTTGCAATAGGATGGCTGTTCATTCTGATTTCGATCCATGTGTATTAAACTACCTCCATGTTCTCAATTGGATGATCTTGAATAAACAACTGATAACAGTCCTGTGAAGCTTTATTTCTTACCACAGCATGAAAGAGTTATACGATGACTGTTTAGTGGCCCGTGAATCTGACTCCAATTAGATCGTACGAATGTTTGATATCACCTATCCTCGTATATAATCATCGACTTAAATCGCGTTAGTCAATAACGGAATTATATAAGTCGAATAACGAGAATGGACTTGTGAATACACATATTTTGTATATATAGTGAATGAAATAGAGAGAAGAGAATAGACGCGCAGTGGGTGGTAAGCCAACTCCCATTTAACCAAGCGTTAATCAATATTTATAGTTACACAAAAGTAAGTTACAGACATGTGATGAGTAATGGGATAAGAAATGTACACACACTTACGCGCTCACATAAAAACAGTCAAGATTGATAAGCGAATAAATAACTAGGTCAGAATATGACTCAAGTAGAATGAATAGAATGGGCTGTCCGAAACCTAGAATAAGGTATATGGGCATAACATAATAACGGACGCTTCAACTGAAACTCGAAAAAATGTCACCTATTATTCAACTTGCGACGGTCTCAATGGAAGTAAATTCTTAAAAGCATGTCTATTAGTTCGTGAAAATTTAAGAAAGTTTACTCAGCGTAAATTAGCAATCCTTCAAGAAAAAATTTAACCATCAAAAAGAGCACAATATATGAGAAAATCTGTTGAAATAACAAAATTGTGGACTTATCAAATATGAATTCGTGAAATATGATTGTTTCACACACAATTTCACTGAATTCGCTTTTACTAAGAATGTATCCAAGTTTACTTGAATAAGTATGTTAAATTTTGGAAGAATCCAGCATTAGCTCTTTTGCTAAGTTAGAAGGATCACATCTCCCATTGAAACTGAACAAATAAAAAAGTTTTTCAAATACACGAAAGACTACTAGAGTATATAAGTAGTTAAATATCTTTCATGAAAAAAAACAAGCTATTTAATTTTTAATATCGTTAACGAATTGGTCTTTGTATAATCCTAATTAATATGTTGACACTCAACAAATTAAGTTGTAATTTACTCTGTTGAGTTAATAAAAAAAATTATTACATAAAAACTATATAACTGTGGGAAGTAACTGTAACGATAGAGAATATCCTTGACGGACAGTAAGTGAAATATCAAACAGCAATAATTAATTGTATTGTTCATAGTTCCACAATGTTACGAACTGACTGAAGTTGAAATGCATTCTTCGTTATGTAGGACAAGAATATTGAGACTGATACGTGTCCGAAAAATTCAAAATTCTAAACTAAATCAAGACATGATTCATTACTAAAATGCGGTAGAAACCAGAAAAATAATATTTGTCTAGTGACATTGTTATTTAACAGTTTTCCAATAGATTTTGATTGGTAGTAAACAGTAACTCCAAAATAGTTCCCATTTCGGCAAATCATCCTTCTGAATAAAATTTAGTACTTAGTGGGTAATATTTACAATGACTCCATATCATTCAGATACGTTAATGTGAAGCAGACACTGATGATTTTATTTAGAATGATAACGACAGCTCCATAATCAAAACATTCAGTATGAAAAAACCATCATCAACAAGAGATCAGTATTATATATAACTACTGAAGGTTAAACGACGTTTTCATACTTCGACTGATCACCTTTAAACTCCGAATCGTCAGATTTTGAAGAAGATGTAAGATATCCATCTAATTCAATTTAATTTATCCGTTTTTAAATTTAACATTTCTTTGGCTTATAGGATATTTCAAGTTAGATAACAATTGCACTCATAGGGCAGCTGAAGTAATAAAATAATTTTTTACATGAAATTATCGAATCTAACAAACGAAATAGATTCGAGCATCCAAAATGAATTTTCATGATCAAACAAATATCTATTTCACTTTAGTTCCATAGATCATTTAACAAGATCATATCTTATCATAATTTTCATTACTTCATTCTCCTAAAAAATAGCAGTACTTATCAATGTAAAAAAACTGATGAAAACGCAACGAAACATCTAGATGATATTAAATATTATATACTAACCATTAAACAACCATAATTAAAGTACGCATTTTAAACATTATACTCTATGTGTTATTTTTAAAATTATTTTTATTTAAGGATTGTGATTGAAATCATGAACCGATTGATGTTAGACCACCATTGGAAACCTGTAAGCACTGGACAACCGTTTCGTCTTACTGTGGGACTCCTCAGCAGTGCGCATCAACGATCTCACTCGTGGGATTCCGACCCAGGGCCTTCAGTCTCACGCACGAATGCTGAACCTCCAGACCACTGGGCCGGCATCCAACGGTGTTCATGTCTGACCTAATTAAAGATTATCTGGTACTTAAAGGAAACTGGTTACAGCACTGAAGAATCATTCATATAATAAATGGTCCAATTATATGTATCATAATCACCTTAAAGAAACAGAGCAAATAATTCATATTTAAAATTCAAAGTAAGTTCCTGTAATAAATCTAGTTCGTTAAGCCAACTTTGATGAATATTTTAGTGTTAATAGCATAACTGGTTTATGAGATTTTATCAGATTTTAGTTTCAACTAATGTGTTTAATAAAAATTTCACTATTCATTGACATGTTTTCTATGTTTATTATCTTCCTTTTTCATGTATGCCTAATCTATGAACACTCACTTATATTGGTATACCTTGTTTCTATTTGAGAGGAAATTTTCCTGCGTTGAAAAACTGTAATATTTCCTTAGAAATTCTTTTCTTCTATACTATTTACTATAAAATAATAGCCAAAATGATTGTTATAATTAATTAAATCTTTGAAATAATTTCCATTGTCACTTCCATTTCGTTGTACTTTGTCATGTTCTTCATTATTTTTATCATGTTTATAAAAAAAACATTCAACTTACTAATTCTGATAAAACTCTTTTTTGACATTTTTTTCTAATTCCCATTATTTTACTTCAACATTGTCAATCATTTGATCATCATTTTTAATAGTGACTATTAAAGCCTTACTTACGGTAAATCTTAAATAGACTAAATAATACGTAGTATAACAATAATAATTTGGTTTCACAATCTCGGATAGGATTTAATTCCTGATTTTAATCCTTGAAAAAAGTATGGTAACTTTAAACCACAGAGTTTAAATGTTATGTGCTAAATATTCAACTTAATAATAGTTCACTATGTTCGAGAAAAAGCATTGGACATATATTCACGATTTACTCAAACATACATCAAAAATAGCATCTATTGTTAGGAATGACTAATATCTCTTCCATAATAACAGCGTCAGTCAGAATGAAAAAAATGTTACCATTTTGCTGAATGTTCGCTAATGTGCAAGTTCAACAGTTCTTAAACCTGACTTTGACTATTAATGCACAAATTATACTGATAGTACTATAAAAGATTATATTTCTTGCTATGTAGAAATAACAGGAAGGATAAATAACTCAAGCACTTTCTCATTTCACGTATTACTCATTAACAACTTATCAGTAAATCTATGACTATGTATTAATTAGATTCTTCGTTTGTCCTAAAAGGATTGATTAGTTGAATCAATTATTCAGACTAAACTATTTAAAATGAACTATGGCCTTTAAAATCTCATGAAATCATCAATCATTTATAAATTAGGTTTAAAGATGATCTAACTATTTTAAGTATTAAAATAAACTATCAAACAACTGACTATAAAATTTCTTGAAATGCCTAGAAGTACGTGATTATTTTCAGATCTAATATTTTCAATATCTTTAGTATAAGAATATACTTTAGTTTCAATAAGCAATAAAACATGGTATATTTAAATCTATCCAATAACTATTCGTAGACTTCAAAACCATCAACTCAAATCATTCTTTGTTCAGTTTTTCAACATTATCGAAACAAAGCATTAAAATGCCAGTTATCTAACCAAAATACTCGTTTTGTATGAACGTTTACTCTTCAAGTAACCATTCAACTTTATCAGTTATATTAATGTCTATATGTTCATTCATTTTTATAATGCAAGCATAAACCATTCTAATTTGCTTTTGCATATTTCATATTTCTCACAAGAACAACAACAACAAAATTATCAAATTAAAATATCTACAAACGATGTACAAACAAAAATTAATAAACTTTATCAGTAGTTAAAACTGATATCATTGTCAGAAGGGGTTTTGTGAAGATTTTAGTAATTTCAATAGTTTAACTCAGCAGTGCGCATCTACTACCCTGCCTCGTGTGAGATTCGAACCCAGGACCTATCAGTCTCAATCTATACTAGAACGAAACGGTTGTCCAGTGCTTTCAGGTTTTTCATGGCGGTCTAGCTTCAACTGACTCATAATTTCAACTATTGATATCATTATATTAAAGAGAGAACGGTTACATTTCATTAAACCTATGTTTATTTCCTATCAGTTTGTCTATAGCAAAGCTTATGATACTAATGAACATTTATTTATTTATTTTGTAACTAATTATAAAATATACTTAGTGTGAAAAAAATAAAACGCATAGATACTGACCATATTGATTTTAATTATTATCCAACATTGTCTGAAAACAAAAATCGAATAGTTGGAAAAAAAGTAAGTTTAAAAATAGTGTTAATAATTATGTAACTTGACATAAATAAATGAACAAGACATTTACTTAAATACTTTCAATAATGTTCATAACAAGCAAAAGGTAATCGGAAGTTTCGGCGAGAGAGAAAGAGAGAGAGCAAGAGGGAGAGGGAGAGAGAGTAAAAAACTAACAACAACATAAACATGCATGAGTTTAACAATAAAGTGAAAAAACAAGTTGACTGAAGAAAAAAACAAACAAACAAACATAATTATTGTTTATTGATGATGTAATGAACTCAACATGTAAGAGAAGAAAAAAATCTGTAGTGTGAGAAGGCATAAACAGTGATTTATTGTGTTAGGGTTAATATTGTCAGTAGATATATATATTCGTATAGTCATACTCTGAAGTATTGATTTTGATCATTTTTACAATTGTTCATTTAAATTAGATACTTTTATTTCCCTGATGTGAAAGTTTTTTATTTGTTCTAAGAGAAAAAAAACTGATAAATAATAATGATGTAATTAATAAATATTGGATTTATTATTAATAAGTCGATATAGGCATTGTTCTTTAGCTATTTCTGGTTTTAAACCCATTAATGTCCAATCACATGGATTATAAAATGAATGATTACCACCACATGTAATTTGTTCATAATTTAATTCTTTCATAAATTCTTTCTAAAATTAAAAAAAAAATGAATTCAATAAGTAGCATGTAAAAGTTAATATAGTTTTAAGTAGAAAGATTTTACTTTATAATAAATTCCCATTGATTGATGTTATTCTATTAGACATATTTGAGTACTAGTTTGTTGTTAGTAGTATTATTCTATATTGCTTTTAAATGATGCAATTGAAGATATTGGTCTTTTTAATTACGAATACAATATAATTCATTTCTAGCAGAAATAAATTTATCAATTATAACATTATATTCTACTACTTTGAATGATCAATTGTATGCAATGAACTAGATACACATCTAAATTCTATTGAATATACTCCTTAATGACATTTTAAAGAAGAATAATACGAAATGTTTACGAAAAGTAGAATTTAATGAAGAAAATTTTGGCGAAACTATAATTTATAGACGAACTAATCAGGTATAAGATAACAGATCTCAGATTTTAGCGCAAAATTCACCCATCCATCTAGCTAAATAGAGTTTCGACATTATAGCTGATATCAGTTCGTGATGAAAACCTGGAATCTAATTCTTAACCTTAACCATTAAATGTAAGTCATCATTCTTATTCCTCACATTGGTTTATAACCTTCATTTGGTCTAGTTATTAGGTGGGCACTCTCAAATTCAGTTTAGCATTACTCAAGGATCGTACATGAATTATAGTTTCATCAAAATGTTCTTTTCAAAAAAATCATTTACTTAAGCTATATAGGCATATGTATACTTATATGGAAAATATATGTCTATTGAAGGATAGAAATGATTTCGTCGGGAAAATAATTTTCTTTGTTGAATTCTCCTTTTCTTATTCAATGATGTAATGGGTTATTTTAGATATGGTTACATTAGTTACCTTCATTCATTTGAATTCATGTAATATTAGAAGTACTTTTTTTCCATATAAAATCAACCAAATAAAAATGTCAAAGTTTATGTACTTTATCTTATACTCTCAACATATTTTTTTGGTTTGTTTGTTTGTTTGTTATTTTATTCATTTTATAAAATAGTTTTATTTTAAAACATTTAAATTATATTTGACTTACCATTTTTGAATTCGTTTCCCAAACAAAATGATATGACCCATAAGTTGTTGCTCTTAAAAATTGTTCTACTGTATATTTAATTAATGCTCGATTAATTTCATCTTTTGATGCAACTCTAAGTGTTGATACATATGCTGAACTAGATGGTATTCGTCGATTATTTGGTTTAGCCCATTCATAACATTTTGTAACAAAGTCAAGAACTGATGTTATCATACCAGGTGCATACATATCACCTAGTTTAGATGTTGATAAAACTAAATTAGCACCGTTCAATTTACTTTCTGAATTATCAGATTGTAGAGTTATCTAAGAAAAAAAAAGTCAAAAAAAATATGATAATAACCATGAGGTGAGCATATATTAGAATATTTCAATGACTATTGTAAAATAATCACTTATGTTCAACAACATACAAGCGGTTAAAATGAATAGAGAACATAAGAGATATTTTTTTATGCATCTCAGTAAAACTCTCTAGCACATATATATTTTAAAGACGGATGAAGAAAATAAAAATACTTACAGAGGATAACAATTGATCAGCAGATTTCCAAGCAAGATATATATGTGTATAATACATTGAGTAAGGAATTTGTAAGTCATGTACTTTTGCTTCACTTTCTTCTGTGCGATTAGTGAAATAACTAACAATTCGATATAGTGGTGCACTGGTTATTGTTTTTATCACATAACCTTTGTCAGATGAAATACTTTGGTAGATTTTTGTGTCTTCTGGTTTTGAAATGTTAGGATATAATAATCCAACTGTATTAAATTTAGAAGAACTCATAATGTTAGGTGATAATAATGCACAAATGAAAATGTATGTAATCATTATCCTACAAATAAAATAAAATAAGAGGATGAAATAGAAAATATGTATATTTACCTTTTGGGAAATTTTAAATATTCACTTTATAAATTGTAACTAAGAGTTTATCACGTTTATTATCTACGTATCGTGTGGATATTTATATTCTTCTTAAACCTATGAGAGACTTATGATTTGGAAGTCATACGTTTGATTTATTTCCTTTTTAACCAATCCCGTTAATAAGCTATAAGAATAATAATTTCCCCTAGTTATTTTTCACCTTTATTCACAATAAGTAAATTTTATTTTTAACGAGATAGTATTGGTTAATAGTATACATCCCTTTAATAATAATGCTAATATTATTTTGTCAGTATACTATTTGAAAAAATATATATGAGCAGGGACAATAAATTAAAGCAGGTAAATATAGCTAGAGATATTCAAAGGATAGATTATTTCAAATTCTTAGAATGAATCTTATTATTTAACCAGTAATAAAATAGAATGTATAAATTAATAATTTTAACCCTAAATTGCAAAATAAATTTATTAAGTTTATATTTGTAACTAAGTAAACTTTTAGTTTCTCGTGTAACATACTTTCTGATGAAATCATTAAAATACTTTTTTATGTCTGTGTAATCTTAATTAATCATTTACTCAGTTCTGATAATAATCACCAGCAAACTAGTGACTGACTTCAAAAGACACTCATGGAGTTCTAGTGGGGAGCCGTGACCAGTGGAATTCAGCCAGGTCTGTTGTGAGATATCAGCTCACTGAAGACAATGTTGACGGTGGTGCGACCTCGTGAACTGGTTGAAGTTAGACATTAACACCGTTGAATGCCGGCTGGCTCAATGGTCTAATGGTTAAGCGCTAGCGCGCGAGACTGATAGGTCTTGGGTTCGAATCTCGCGGGGAGCGGGATCGTAGATGCGCACTACTGAAAAGTTTCATACTAGGACGAAACGGCCGTCCAGTGCTTCCAGGTTTCCCATGATGGTCTAGTTTCAATTGACTCATGATTTTAACTATTGAAATTCATTAATTGTTGAATATGTATGAATAATTAACTTGCTCATTCATCTAGACACCCTATCAATTCAGTAGGAACTGTTTTCTGAAAACCTTAGATATTCACTTTATTTCAATCATGACATGATAAACTTGATTTCCTTATGAGTAAGAATGAATATGCCTCAATGACTGTAAAGGAATTAGAAGAAAGTTAGCATTAGATGTAATGTTTATAACAATATAATTTACATATGAGGATGGTATACGTTTATTATGTTTATAAAATTTCAACAATACACATTCATTACAGTTACTTTACAAGATCAAGATATTTCCATTACTTCAATAATAATATGTATAGTACATAATAAAGATTATCAAAAAAATATATACAAATCTATTTCATTTTATGAAAAATCACTGCATTTTACGTTTTCTACTTAGAACACTTCATAAGAGTTTTAAGTAAGACAAAAACGTCAATCATTTGTTAATTATAAAATATTTTTTAAACAGAAACAGAACATAATTATTAAGTCAGTTTAAAATCAAAATTGCAGTTTCACAAATATTAATGTTCGATGTTCATTAGTATTTCTCTAAGATGTTTTATCTATATTAGTTGAAGATAGACATTGAAAAATCCAAACTGGACAAAGATTTCATGATATCTAGCATTCATCATCAAAACACTTCTGTAATCTTAACAGAACCGACGTCTCCCTAATGAATTTGATCTCTTGACACCAAGCTCCATAGTCATAGGATTCACTGCTGAGTTATTCAGGACGTGATTGATTTCCTGTAATACTTAGAATTCCACAAATAATTAATTACTCAGTTTTTTTTCTAGGGCTGATCGAGTTCTACCGATCACCACAAACTGCATATTAAACCAATATTAAATGAAATCCTTAAATATCTTGACTAAATAGTCAAATATGTAAAATACTTTTTATAAATGTTTATCGCATCTTTTCTATTTCTGAAATTTTACATATTTTGTCATCCTACTCTAAGTTTAAAGAGTATGTATTTAGTTGTTAAGTTGAAAATAATAATAGTAACCAGAAAATTTTCTTACTGATCATGAGAATCAGTAAAAATGAACTATTCATGTAAACGTTTTTTTTAAAATTTTAATAGGATATATAGTTTCTAGGAAGATGTTTGTAAATCTCATTAATTAAGATATTCACATTATTATTACTATTATTATAAAATCTAATGACAAATCGTACGTTTATAAAACACCAAAACATTAAAGCACTCAGTCCCTTTGATAAATTTCGTTAAATTAATAAGACGAAGATTATCAGAACTATGTGATATATTAGCGCAATATATTTCGAACAATCTGATCATACATATACGTGTTAAGATCATTTATATATACAAATAAAAGGTCAACTATACTGGAAATGGGTAAGAGGAGATAAGGATAATTATAAGAGTATATGTGTGATCAGATAGTTCAAAACTTATTGCGCTAATATATGGAATAGTTCTGATTATCTTCGTCATCTAAGTACATTAAATTTATAGTTAAATGTTAATTTTACATAATGGGAAACTGAAATGAAATATCATTCAAATTCATTTAAAACTAACTCATTATTGGTAGAATTTTGTAGTTTAGCTAATATACTACTGAATTCATGTTAGATTTTTTAGCTATTTCAATTCAATCTAATTCAGTTACAATTCTTCTAAAGTATCTTAAGTATCTGAACACGAAAGTTATATCCATGGAAAATAATCCTAAATACTTTATCGTTAATATTTTTCTTTCATTTTCTTTTTAATTTTTTGAACTTTCTGATTGATTTGTAATTTAAAAACCAGTAATTTTTTTAAAAAACAACTAAGTTTCAGTAAAACAATAATTAAAACAAACTTTCATTACTTTTGAAACTAAATTATTTTTTCCGGTTATCGTTTCTATAGCGAGTTAGTTTTCTACGGGTTTGGTTTGCTAACCCTATGCCCAACCCTCTTCCTTTATCCAGATTTGGAACCGGCAATAGCCCCAGTGGGGCTCCAGGTGGAGTTTTTGAAATTAAGAAATAAAGTAACTATGTAATGAAAACATTGTTATGCCATTTAATCATTCGATAATGAGTGAAACTTATTCTAAAGAATATACACAGATATAATAAATAAGTTTCATTAAAAAACTGGCAGTCTCTTTTCTGAAAAAACGTGCATACAAAGAAGATGAGAAAGAAAAAAAAAGAACTTCAGACAAACTGGCTTTATTTTTTCTGTTGTTAATTATTCACCGAATTTTAATACTTTGTTATTCTTGCACATTTCACCAACATACAATTCCTTCTTATTTACAGTCGGATAACATCAAAAGTTTGTTCGAAAAATGAAAAAAAAAAGTGATGAACATTTACATGCAACATTTGAAGTAACAAAAAAAAAGAAAAAGGAAAACAAAAGTTAGTTGTATGCAGTTGAACTAAACTGGTTCAGTAAGAGTGATTTTTTTCTAGTTGTTATATTTATCTACTTATTATTATTAGTACTACTACTGTTATAATAATTATTAATGACATTACTGTCCATTAACTGTGATGTTTATAAAATATATAAATGGTCAAATATATATAAATATATTTCCAGTCTACCACAAACTTGATATTATAATAACTTTCAAAATAATAAATTAAACAGAGTTTAACTATTGTAACTATTATGTAATCAGTCAGTATTAGTTAAACTAGACTCTTTTCGTAACCGCTTTTAATAGTTTTATTAAATGTGAAAAACAACGATGAAAAAATACAAAAAAGAAGGATGTTCCCTTTCTTCATCACCAAAACTAAATTTACTGATTACTAAAATAAATCAAAATGATGATACATTAAATAATATATTTTCATTAGAAATTTTACTATAGTCGACGTCATTGGCATCAAATGCTTATACTATATCAGGCGTATAATTGTGAACTGAATCATTGTATAGTAAGATTTATAATTGTTAAATGTCTAAAAGAGTGCTATTCATAGACTATAAGATTATTATGTGATCTAAATGTCAACACTAAATTTTGTAACATTTTAAGGATAAAACTAGCGAATGTGTTAATACTTCAATATTCATAAAAGATGAAAAAAAGAATAGTTGAATTTTAATGACTACCCCGACGTGCAATGTTTTATGGTACAGGAGTAGGTTGGAAGAAAGCTAGGAGTGGCCAGAATAAAACATGGCACTAATCCATGAAGTCACAACAGACCCGGTTAAACTCCCTTCTGATATGAATCAACGAATACTCACTAGTGATTGGCTTCAAGAGATATTTCCTGGAGTTCTACTGAGAAGCAGTGACCAGTGGAGTTCAACCGGCTCAGTTGTGAGATATTAAGTCACTGATGACAGTGGTGGATGTGTCGCTAAATTTCGTGGATTGGTTGAAGTTAGACATTAACACTGTTGGGTGGCGGCCGGCTCAATGGTATAGTGGTTAGGCGCTCATGTGTGAGACTGATAGGTTCTGAGTTCAAATCTTGCAAGGCAGGATCGTGGACGCCCACTACTGAGGAGTCCCACGATGGGAGGAAACGGCCGTTCAGTGCTTTCAGGTCTTCCATTATGGTATAGCTTTAATTGGCTTATGGTCTCAACCACTGAAATTACTATACTATCCACAAAGACCCTTCTGATATAAAAAAATAATAGTTAAATTTTAATGAATAGTATAGTACTATTTTGGGGGAATTTTGAAAATATTGCCAACAGCATCATTCTGTATGATCAAATAATCGAAATTATATTTTCCTAACATTTATCTTAGTTATCTACTGCAGTTATTCATATCAAAAATATAAAAGATAGTCAACTAATTCCAAGAAACTACAATGGACGTAAGCAAAGATGGATAGTGGCTAGCAGTGGGATCCAGGACGTGCGTTTCGTCCTATTTGGGACTCGTCAGCTGGATGTATCTGCATCTCAGAGTTGATGTTCACCCTGAGACTCGAACCCAGT